TGGATCTCAAGCCCCTGTGTCCCTACTTCTACCTTCACCTCCGTGCCGCAGCTGCTGGGATGCCACACACAGGCCCTGAGACCCACAGATGCAGAGATGCCAAGGCCTGTTGTCCCCTCTCTACCACCAAGAGCTGTGGAATCTCCAGAAGTCACTGTCCCTCCCTGGGCCTCAGTTTCCCCAACTGCAAAATGGAAATAACAAAACCTTTCCGATTCCCTTTCCAGGGTGGCTGCCATAGTTAAGCCACACACAGCACGTGTGGAAATGTCTAGGGGTCCCTCAGGTCTGGTGGCTGTGTTCGGGTCTGGGGTCGACCTTGGCCCCTAAGCACAGAGGCCGCTGGGCTCCTGGCTGGGCGGCGGTGGGATGGTGTGTCACCGCCCTGCACTGGAATGAATGATCAGCGCCCTGCTGCCCAGCACGGCACAGGCACAGCAGTGGCTCCAGACTTGGGGCAAGTGCTTAAGCGGGTCACCTCCCCCTCCTCCTCTGTACTTCCTAGAGCCGGAGCCCTCCCCTCAACTGCTGTGTTCTGCTGAAGCAGAGTCCCTGGGAGGTGCCCCTGGTCAGGCCCCGACACCTCCAGGTGACTAAGTGGGCAGGGCCGGCAGGGCCAGCTGCGCCAGGGCGTTCGTTCGGGCTGGGCTGTGTGTCGGGGAAGTGAGGTGCAGGCTCCTGATGCGTGAGGGGGCAGGGCGCCCCTCCCCCCGCGTGGGAAATGAGGAGGCAGGTACCGGGCTCCCCCCCACCCCGTGGACTGCCGCGTTGGGGTTCAGGGTCTGAGAAGCAGAAACCTGCTGGACGGTCTCCTCCCTCCCTCCCTCCAGTTTCACTTTCTCTTTCCCCCTCCCCTTCCCCCTCCCACGAAGTTCCCTTTGAAGTGAGAGGGGCCGCGGTGGGTGTGTCCAGCCGCCCCCACACCCAGAGGGGCAGGCCCAGCCCTGGGCTCCTGTCGGGCCTGGTTCTCACCTGCCCGGGCCGCCCTGGGCCCCGACGTGGCTAAGGTGGAGTCCCGGGCCCTCCGTGCGCCTGAGAGCCCCAGGCCCAGACCAGACGGTGCGGGCGCTGCCCCGCGGGCACCCCGACCCCGGGAGCCAAGTGCGCCCAGGCCGGACGCTGGGGGCGAGGGCGCCGGGCGGGGCGGGGCGGCCGCTGAGTCAGGGCCACCCCCGCGCGGTCGCGCGGAGCAGGTCCCGGGCCGTGGAGGATCTGTCGCTGGACCTGCGGGCCCGAAGCCGCCCCGCCCGGAAAAACCGGTCGGGCCAGCGCGGCGCGGGCGCATTCCGGCGCCGGGGAGGGCGGACGCGCGGCATAAAAAGGCGCCACGCGGGGCCCGCGGGACGAGGGGACCTCGGGGCCGGCGAGGACGCGGCGGGGCTGGACTCGGCGGCCGGGATCCCCTGTTGCGCCTGGCGGCGGCGTCTGAGGCGTCCGGGGCGGCGTCGGGGCCGGGTGGCTGCAGCAAGGCCGGGGGCGCTCGGCCGGCGGGGATCCGGGCGCAGGGGCGGGTCCCCCGGGGTCCGCGGGCGGTCCCAAGGGCGTCGGGGCTCCTCTCTCCGCAGCTCGGCAAACCGACGGTGTCGCGGACTCGCGCGCTGGGTCCAGTGGTTCTTAACAGTTCAACAGTTCTGTGGCGCAATTGTGAAATGTTTAGGACCACTAGACCCGGCGGGCCCGGCGACGGCGACAGCGACAGCGACAGCGACGCAGCGTCCTACGCGCGGCCTGGAGTCACAGTCACAGCCGGGGGCGCCCCGGCGACCAACCCAGGGGAGCCCACGGGCCGGACCCGCCTGCTGCCAGGGTAGACCCTCGGCTTCAGAGCCCAGTGCTGCAGGGAGGTGGCCGGGCTGAGCTCTGGGAACCGCCGGGGTTGGGGGCGCGCTGGTCGCCCACGCTCCTGGCGCGCTGCCCGCCTGGAGACGCCGCCGCCGCCCTCCTGCGCCCCGAGGGCCCCCACCTCGAAACTCCGTGCAATTCCCAGCGAGGACCTGGCGGTGGGCCCGCAGGGTTGAGCAGCGCTCCTTGCCCTGCGCTTCTGGGGAGCTGCCGCACCCTGCTGGCCAGCCTGCGGTTCCCGCTGCCCACTCCCCGGAGCTTCTCTCACCGAGGCCTTGGGGCGCGCCGCGCTGCTCCTATGAGTGTGCTTTAAATGCCTGAAGGACCTCGAGGCACAGAAACTGGGAGTGGGGAGGAAGTTTGGAGACCATACCCAGGTAGAGGAGAGGCGGCGCCCACGATGACAGGGGCCTGCGCCAGTCCCCTTGGGCCTCGCGGTGGCTTCCACAGGAGAGATCTGGGTGCCAGTCTGGGTGTGAAGCCACAGGCGGCCCTGGGAGGGGCTCAGCAAAGGGTCGAGTCTGTCCCCACCTCCAGCCGGGGACCAGGGTTTTCTGCCTGGTGCTGCCTGGCCTGCCGTGTCCTCTGGGGCGGAGGGTCCCTTCCTGTCCCCACCTCCTCACCCAGAGATGGGTCAGACAGGCCTGGGTTTGAGGGCTGCTAGGGTGGCCTTGGGCCAGTCACCTACCCTCTCAGAGCCCCACCTGCACATGTGGGGGGTTGATGTGAGGAGGCAGGAGGTGACTGTGGAGGGCTGCTCTGGGAGAGGGTCAGCTGCAGGACAGCAGGGTCCCCTGGCCACCCAGGTGGGGGAGTGGAGTTCCTGGGAGAGCATCCACCACTGGCCAGCACCTCCCCTGTTGACCAGAAAATGCCACTGTGGCCACCTCTCAGGCTCTGACTTCAGAGCCTGGGGCTGTGGGAATGCCCAGCAGGTCTCTGGCATTGGAGGGGCCGGAGTGTCTTGCCCAGCTGCTGCCCGCTGACCACCGCGGCTCCTTGTGGCCATTTCATTTTACAAGCATGTTCCCCCACGCCCTGTGCATGGGCCCTCAACCCTCAGCAGCCCCGTGAGAGGGGCTGAGGCTCAGGTGGGGTGTGGGCCGTGTCCCTGAGCTGCAGCTTGGAATCGTTCTGTTTGGAGTGCGTCTGTACAGTTTAGACTGACAATAAACACGTTCCGAAGCACCACTGTCCCTGGGGTCACTTGTCCTTTCCCCCCAGGCTTCAATGTGGTTTCTCCCTCATAAGCAAACCACCATTTCCTTCTAACCTCACAGAAGCAGAAACCAGGATGCTTGGTGGAGGGGCAGTGGCCTGGTCCTTACCCGAGTTGCACCCCTGCCCCCAGCCTCAATTCTGCCTCTGGCACTTTGTTCTTCAAGGAAGCCCCTACCTCAGCCCCAGCCTCCAGTTTTCCCATTGCAGTGACGTCTCCTGGGCCACTGGGCCACACGCCCCGCCTTGGATTTGAGCTGCCAGGGTGGGGAGAGGGCTTGGCTCCAATGGGCCCCACTTTCAGGAGCTCCAGCCTGCACCTGCCACCCCACCCCCACCCATGGCACTGGTCTCTACTGGCTCCTACCCATTCCCGCTGGAGCCTGTAGGCTGGCCCTGGGGACCTGGCCAGGAGAATGGGCAAGGTGGGAGGGCAGAGGGGTTGAAGAGATAGAGGCACCTTCCTCCACCCTCCCTGCCCCTGTTACAGGGGACCCAGAGTCCATTGTGCATTCAAACCCCAGCTCTATGCCTATTAGCGAGTGACCTTGGAAAGACCCTTATCCCCTCGGAACACCTGTTTCTTCCTTTTGTAGGATGACGTGGAGCTAGACGGAAGTTCCTCTGCTATCGCAAACTCCCTGAGCGCTCAGCTGTCCCTGGAGCTGACACGGTGGGAGGGCCGGTGGGGGATCCTTGGAGAGGCCGAATTTCAGCCAGGGCCTTGGAGCACCAGTGGAAGGCCCAGCTGGCCGTGAGGTTTGGTCTCACAACAGGCCCCTGCTTGGTGTCTGGGGACACCAGGAGGACAGGCCCCTACTTTGCTGAGAGTAGGACTGTGCTTCCCAGCAGCCCAACCTCTCCACTGCGGCCTCTCCATCCTCTGCCCCTGACTCAGGAGGAGGATGGCTCCTTAGGGTCCATTCCTTCAGCCATGGAATTCCCGAAGGGAAGCTGGGCATGCAGGGCTCCTGGGCTGCTACTGGGGACACATGCCACGGTTCTGCCCCGGGGAGTATGAATAGAGGCGGATGAAACTTCTGGGTGGAACTGGGCACCATGGCATTGAGCCGTGCGGCTGTGTCACTGGAGGGCCACGCCAGGGGAGGGCAGAGCATCCCGGCACAAGACTGGCCAGCCTGTCCAAGTGTGCCTGGGTTTTTCCAGATTTGGCACTGAAAGGTTCTTAGGATCTTCTGAGTCTGGGGCAAACTGGGACTGCTGATCACCCTACCTGGACCAACTCATGCACATGCTGCCCTACCCACCTGGACAGCCAAACAACTTGTCTTTTCCATAAGAGAAAGGAACCTTCTGCCTTTTACAGCCACGGTTATTTTGGTCTCTGGTAAAGTAGCTAAACCAGTGTGGGAAAGCAGGGGTTCTGACTCACCGCAGAGGCCCAGGCTGGGTGAGTGGGACCGGCAGTCGGCAGGGATCTGGCTGCACCAGCTTCCCAGGTGAGCCTGATAAATGCCCAAGGCTGGCGGCAGGTGTCTTAGGTGAGAGGCCTCAGGAAGAGGTGGGCTGGGGGAAGGGGAGACAGGCCCTGAACCTGTGGCTATGGGTGGTGTCCTGGCCTCTACTCCCCTGGGAGCAGGAGCCCAGAGTAGAATTTGCATCTTGGCCTCTCTGCCCTTCCCCAGAAGAGTCCATAGCCCCCACTGCACAGGTAGCCTGCCAGGCCAGGGTCTGGGGGTGCCCACTTGAGGCTCACGGAATCTGGGTGTATATGTGGGTCTCAGGCCGTTTGCGCTACTGTAACGAAACCTCTGAGATGGGTAATTTATAAAGAGCCACAAGAAATTTATTTCTTACTGAGCTGGAGGCTGGAAGTCCCAAGTTCAAGGTGCCGGCAGGTTCTATAGCTTGTGAGGCCTCAGTCTCTGCCTCCAAGTTGGTGCCTTGTGTACATCCCTTGGAGGGGAGGGACGCCATGTCCTCATATGACAGGAGGCATGAAGGACAGAGAGGATGGGAAGGGCAAACTCACGCCCTCATGCCCTTTCATAAGGCACAGATCCTGCCCGTGGGGGTCCAGCTCTCACGGCCTCGTCAGGTGCTGAAGGCCTCAGCTCTTAGTCCCGTCGCCCTGGGGATTACGTTTCAACGTGGGTTTTGGAGAAGGCACAAGCCCTCAGGCCACAGCAATGTGTTTGCAGCTGAGAATCATCAGAGGACAGATGATGGCTCCTTCCTAGGTGACCAGAGAAGTCCCATGGGACAGCAGATCTGTCACAGGGCTGCGGGGCCACTGTGACTGGGTTTCTGGGTATCTGCTTGCAGTTCTGAGGCTGCAGGGGAGCCAAGTTGCACTGGGAGGGCACGTAGAGAAAAAGAGCTGTCTTGAGCTCTCCGGCCTTTGTGGGAGGCGTCACACTATTTCTCTTGGGTTTATTAAAATGTCATTACATACAGTAAAGTGCACAGGCTACAGTTTGATGACTCTTGACATATATGTGCACACCTGTGAAGCTGTGACCACGGTCGAGATGATAAACAGACCAGCCACAGCTGCCTGCAGGGTCCTGCCAGCCCTTGTGACCCCTTTCTCCTTCCCCAACACCTCCCACCCCGCAGTTTTCTCTGTTGGAAAGAAATGCGCATTCAGCATATTTCCTAGAGACAGGACCATTCAGCAGATCTATTTCTTCTTGAGTGAGTTTTAGCAGTTTGCATCTTTTCACAGGATTTATTTAATCTAAATTATTGAATTTATTGATATAAAGTTAGGCATACTATTCCATTATTATCTTTTAATATCTGTAGACTCTGTGGTGATGTACCATTTCTCATTCTTAATATTGACGACATGTTTTCTCTTTTTTTCTTGACCCATCTGGATGGAGGTTTATAATTTTTATCAATTTTTGGAAAGAACCAGCTTTTGGTTTTATTTATTTTCTCTGTAATTTTTCTGTTTTCTATCTCAATGACTTCCACCTTGATCTTTATTGTTTCCTTTCTTCTCCCGACTCTGACTTTTATTTGCTCTCTTTTCCTGGTTTCTTTTTTTTTAACGTTTTATTTGACACATAAAATTGTATATATTTATTATGTACAATATGTTATTTTGAAATCCATATATGTTAGGGAATGCCTAAATCAAGCTAATCAATGTATGCGCTACTTCACATACTTACCTTTGTTTTTGTGGTGAGAACGCGTCCTTCGCAATTTTCTAAAGTACAGTACATTCTTATTAACTAGTTACTATGTTAGGCAATAGGTCTCTAGAACCTCTTCCTCCTAACTGAAATTTTGAATCGTTTGACCAACATCTCCTCAACTTCTTTTTCTAGTTTCTTAAGGTGGAAGCTGAGGTCACTGATACATGACCTTTCATTTTTTCTAATACAGGCATTTCCCTCTAAGCACTGATTTAGCTCCACTACACAAACTTAGATACATTGTGCTTTCAGGTTCATTCACTTTTAAACACTTGCTAATTCCCCTTTTGAATTTCTCTTTGACATTTGAATTATCTAGAAGTGAGTGCGTATTCTTTTTCTTTTCTCTCTCTCTTTCCCTCCCTCTCTTCCTCCCTCCCACCCTCCCTCCCTTCTTCCTGTGGCACAATCTGGACTACCACAACTTCTACCTCCCAGGCT